GAAGTGAAGGCAGGTCTCCCAGGTCCTGTCATCTGCTCTAGTCCCTCAGGGGCTTGAGTCCAAGGTAAAAGAGTCTAACTCCAGCACTGAAATTAAGTAAAAATGGAAGGACGGGTCTTAAGCCTGAAGTCTGCGTAAGCCTTTCTAAAGAGTCTGGGGTCTCAAATCTGATTCCTTATCTCTACACAAGTAGGCTCTGACTGCAACACCTGCATCTCAGCCCTGAGCTCTGGAATCCTGGAGTACCAGATCGCACAGGGGGAGTCCCAGAGCCTGCAGACGGGGACTGGGGTCCTGGGTGTTTTGTCTCTGGCTTGGGATATAAACTGAAGTGCAGGCCTGGGCCCGGATGTGAGTTTTCAGTCTGAATCTGAATCTTCTCGATCCAGCTCCAGGTGGCAGGGTTGGGGTTGAACCTAAGGTCTCATGTCTGCAGGTCTGAGTTTGCAGCTCTGCATCTGGGCGATCAGGTTTCTGGTCTGGGATCTGCTTTGACTTTGGTTCCTTTTGTTTCTCACTGGGGGACCCCATTCCCATGTGGAGACCAATTGGGGTATGAGTCTGCAGGCTGGCTAGCGGCTGGCCCCCTCACCAGGTCCTCATGGTTGCTGAGCGTGTGGTTGGCGTGCAGTAGTGCTGAGCTGAGCTGGGACACCCCATCGCTGGTCTCGCTGTTGCCATAGAAACCAATGCCAATGCCCGCACTGAGAGAAGAAGGAAGAAGAAATACCAACCAGTCTCAGACCCTGGAGGGCAGGCACCATGCCCCCACACGTACCGGTCCTCCCCTTTGCGGCATTAGCCTGTCCAATCTCTGCATCCACCCTATTGGTTCGTCCTCCAAAGAACAGCTCAAGGTTGGCCTCCACCAGTTGTCAAGGTAACCTGAAGACCTCACTCTCCTCCCCACCCCAAGCTGAAGAGACGTCATTGTGATGCTAATGGTGGGTGGAGTGGTGGAAAAGAAGGAGCCCCAGATTTAACTCGCACCTCCCCAGAATGGAACCCTGGTTTTGCCTAGCCCTGGATAAAAGGTCATCAGCTCACAACCAACCACTACACTCTTTGCCAAAACACCCAGAATTCACATCCTTGTCTGAGGAGTCATTAGGCCACCAACACCTGGCTCTTCCTAGCCCACGTGTTCCTCGCCCCTGCCTCCTAAAGGTTCTTGGGAGCACAAGGTCCCTAGCCCTATTCTTTTGTAAAAGACATTGTGCCTGGAGCTCTTAGCCTTCCCCTCTGCTGCCCAGGGATCCAGGCATCTGGAGAGCTGGAAGAGACTGTGGGAGGGAGGGCTGCAGGCCAGGCCAGGAGCTGGGCCCCTGTCCCTGCCCAGCCAACACACAGACTTCCATTGTAGGGCTTGAATATGGGGACCCACTTTCCTCCCTGAGTCTGCGCCTCACACCGGAGGGGGCGAGAGCCTGATGCCCTCACAGTTCTCAGCCTTGAGCTACGCAGGCCCCCACTCCATCCCTTGGATGGGAGCCTACTGCCCCTGCCCCATTGTTCAGAACCCTACAAAGCTCCTCTTGTTCCCAGACTCTGAGGGGGCTGGGGCTGTGTCTCTCCCCCACTGGGTCTTTGTCAACCTCCTCCGT